CAGCATCAACTTTTTGGTGCACAAATTCTATATGAATTCTTATATGAATGAAATTCCTGTATGAATTATTCCTATATGAATGAAAATAGCAATGGGACTCTACAACAAAAATAATCTTTACTTCAATTATCACCCCTAAGGCAGTCTGCACACATGACAACAGCATGTCCCATGCACACATATCACTTACACTGACAGCACATGTATTTTACTTTCCTGACCTTTTTGTAGGACATCTGGCTGGTCTCGCTGTTTTGCCAGGAGGTTTTTATTATATTATACAATTAACAGGAACATAAAATATCAATAAAATAAAGTATTACAGTAATTCTTAATATTTATTGTACATTTAGAAATAAACATCAACATTTTCACATCATGTGTGTGCTTGCTGACAAAACCTAAAAGAACAGAAATAAATTCCTATGTTAATTACAATGAAAATACCAATAGAAGCTGATCATGGTGGTGCACACCTATAATCCCAGCACTTTGGGAGGCTGAGGCAGGAGAATTGCTGAGTTCAAGGCCAGCCTGGACTCCATAGTAAGATAAAGATCAGACTAAACTGCATAGCAAGACCCTGTCTCCACAAAAAAATACCAATAGACCCCTAGAACAAAAATAATCTTTGCTTCAATTGTCACATCCAGGGTAGTCTTCACATATGACAACTGTATGTGCCACGCACAAGTACCACTTACATGATAGCATGTGTGTTTTGTTTTCCTGTACTTTTTTGTAGGGCAAAGTTGACAGCTTTTTGGTTTTTCTGTTGTCATAGTAGATCTTTGTGATGTTCCACCTACTGATTCACCTGTCAGCTTGCCAGTGTGCTTCACAGTTTTTTTGTGTAGTTCCCTGGGCAGAAACATTTTGCTCTTCCTCTGCTGAAAATGATCTCTTATGAAGTACAGTTCTAATCCTCTAAGAAAATTTCTGCATGATATTTTTTTTGGTAAACTATTAAACTACTTATGCCATGCATATTTAGGATCAAGTAAAACACAACCATTGGCTAATGTGTTAGTTTCAAGTGATGTCATAGTTGCCGTATAACTCATCAACAACATCTACTCCACCTTTGGTTTTGTTGTACAGTTACCATCTCAGGCTTCAGTTTTGTGGAGGTTTTAGGAGCAAAGGATCTGCATCATTCCCGTCCTTTCCCTTTGTTCAACTGTAAATGCCACACCACCCTAACATACTGCTCAGAACTACCTCGACCGTGAAATGCTACAAGGTGTTCATCAGTAGTCATGTATCAGATGGTGTATAAACTGCTTGACCTTTTGAGATAAAACTCTCAAACAATGAGTAGATAGCAGCCAAATTATCAGTTCTTTTTCTTTCTTGGTAGGTGGTTTTGTCAACAAACCTCAGGCAATTGTGAAGGAAACCAAATCTCCTCAGTGTCCTTGTTATTCTACAAACCTCAACCCCACACCTATAAATCTTTTAGATCCATAGGTCTTTTACATTCCTGAGATTATCATGAGAAAGCCCTGGTAGGTACAGCAAAGGTATGAATGCTTTCAGTTCAGCTAGTGAGGCATCATGATAAAGACATTTTTGAGAGTGGCTATTGGTGTATACAGAACTGTTTACTTGTATTTCATCACTGTATATTTCACAGTATCTTGTGGCATTTTGTCTGTTACAATTTTCAGCGCTGAATGTCAGTATTGGCATTCTGTCTGTTTCACCCCTACCAAGATCTTCATTATACTTTTAGATGTAGTTCTAACAATGGATTGCTCCATTTGGTTGTGTGACCATTTTGTACCATTTCCGTTAGTCAAATATATACTAACATTACTGTTTTCTTCATCATCTGAGTGAGGGAGTCTACATTCCCTGTGTCTGTATCAGTGGATTCTTGTTCCATTTCCCCATCACAGCAACTTTGGCTCACACGGCCAGTGGCATCATCTGTGTAGGAGTCACCTGCTGATTCACTTTTGACCTTGAAAACTTGCAAATCTGGTTTTCCATGAGCCACTGTACTGAATTGGGCTACTTCTACCAGAAAAATCAAAAGAAAACTTCTTAAAGACCAAATTCTAAATGTACCTGTTGCTGCTTTGGAGCTCTTGCTGTTTGTCTGCCAAGTGGGTTAATACACAGGTGGTCACCAGGCCCAACTGCTGTGAGCTACACTCATATTCCCTTATGGTAAAGTACATGTTTACGTAACAGAAGAATGGTGTGAGTGTATTTTACCCCCCACATGCAAAACAGGTAAACACATGCAAAAACTGTTACAGGAAGTATTATGTGGGTAAAAAGCCAGTTCAACACTTTTGCACAGGTGCATACACCTTGCCATCATTCAAAGTGAGTAAACACAGAGATTGCCTCCTTATTCCCTAGGAGCAGCTACTGAGATGCACAGCCAGCTACTGTTATGATAAAGTACAATTTTGCAGTAGAAAAGTATGGGATGAGTTTTGTAACCCAATGTTATGCCCTTGGAAAGCAGTCTATATTGTTAGACAATTATTGATAGCAATGAACATAGGAAATTCCATGCTTCACCTTGAGAATACATGTTTTTAAGGATGTAAGGAAATCCATAAATTTGGTTGTGCTAAATTATAGTCTAATGTATTGGCAATTACCATAAGTTATTTAAGCCATCGTGCAATTGTAGCTAATTGAATTCCAAGGTCTATTAAAGCTTATAACCAATTATATTGAGTTTTTGAGACCCTCACACCTAGAGCAAGCATCTGCATTATTTTTTGTGTGGGACGATTAGGTGAGATAGGATTCTTTCCCTTAAGAGAATGTCCTAAAATGTATTTGGCCTTGCTCGGTTTATATTTGGGTAGAGGGTGGAGAATGTTATAATAGCCTTTAAATGTGACATTATAGGTCCAATGCCTGTTTCTCCACCTTAGCGCTTCAAAGCTCTTGATAGCCAGGTTCAGAATAACCTCAGCACAAACCTACTGGATGTAGCCCATTGTGAGCACCAGTTTTGTCTTGCTGATCCTGGCTGGAAACTCCTTCAAAGACAATTCTGACAAATTTGCACATACCTAAAGAGAAAACTTTATCCAAAGAAAGTGGTACATGCATTATCAAAAAAGGAATGCATTTGCAGAAGAATTTTCCCAGAATAAGTGAGAATATGGATGTTACAGAGGCAGTGAAAATTCTGAGTCTGTGGGGCAATCAGCATATAATCTTTGATTTGAAGACTTTACAGATGTTCAACATGACAGTTCATATTAATCAGAGATGGGTAGGTGAGAGTCTGCAAAGCAATTTGATGTGAATAGGGTGGAGAAGAGCAGCCCCAGGTTGGGGATGGGAACCTTACCGAGCTTTGCACTGGAGCGCTGGGTACCACTCATGAACTCAGGTGATGTTAACTAGTAGAGATGCTGTTCCATGTTTTGTTCTGATAATTTTTTATTCCATTGTTTTTCTCTGTCCTCATCCTTCACCATAGAAAACCAGCCATTTCCACACACACATATTTACACTTCATTTTTTTAAGTTTATTGATACAATTTAAATATACATAGTGATCGTTTTCATCAGGGGGACTTAGTACCTGTACATGACTTAGCTCAATTCCTGTTCTTCTTTTCCCATTTCCTTACCCCCACTTCAACTCCTCTTCCCGTCCTTCTTTACAAAAGCTTTATTTCCATTATTTTCTTTTTTCTACACTTGGTTTTTAGATAACAGTTGTGTCCTTGAGCACATACAGATTACATGACTAAAAGATGTTGTAGTAGTTTTACTAGCAAAGAGCTCAACTAAAGTTTAATTTCCTCTTTAGGACTTAGGTATTCTTTCTGAACATTCTGCTACAGCTGTCTGCATGAAAAATATCAATTCTAATATATCTTGGTTTAGAATAAAATAGTTCTTATCAAAGTGGTTCACCTGTTATGAAACAATTTGAGGCAATCACTAAGATCATGAAATATAATAGAGCGTTAGTGGGTAATTTCACATATGAACAGAATAATGCCATTTCATTGACAGTTCTTTGTTGTTTTTGAGAAGTGATGTTCTATTTATATAAACTAAATATCATTTTCCCTTTTGTGTAGGTTTGTCTTTTCAAGAAAATTAACATATGGTTTAAATTTGGGGTTTTTTGTTGTTGTTTTTTTTCTGGTACTGGGAATCGAACTCACGACCTCATGCTTGCCAGGCAGGTGCTGTGCCACTGAGGTAAATCCCCAGCCCCTAACATATGGTTTAGAGTGGATGAATTTATTGAAGAAAGACTTAATCTTCGCCATGACCTATGTTTCACATTACTACACTGCAGTGTGGTAGTCAGTTGCTGTTAATATAGTATAATACAGAGGGGAGAAATGAATATTCTTATTTGTAGTGATTTTATGACATCACATGATAAAGCAGATTTGGACACATAGTCTTTGTTCTCTTTGCTACCTAACTGCCTTGTCTCTGTTTCTATCAGTAATGTTATTTTTTTCAAAGAACCCTTGAATCCACACCTTGAAATGTAACATTTCAACCTTGGTGGCATTTTGTCACCCCTTCCACAGTGTGCACACAGACATGGGGTTCTAATTAGCAAGGGAGGAAAAGGTGCCTCTTTTTTTTTTTTTCTGGTACTGGGAATCGAACTCACGACCTTGTACTTGCCGGGCAGGCGCTGTGCTGCTGAGCTAAATCCCCAGCCCCAAAAGCTGCCTCTTAGTGAGCTTATAGGTGCGCTGACCTTTGCTGGGCCCTCTCTAGAATATCATCTTTCAAGCTCTATTGTCATGCAAAGAAGAGTCAGGCTTATTTGACTGATCTGCCTTCTCTCCTGAATCTCAAGATGTTCAAAGCAATTTTACATGAAAATAGTCTTCAGCAACTTCTTGACGACCTAAAACTCTTCTTTCCTTCTCTGGTTACATTGGACCATCAGGCTTCATAAGACAGGGCTTGTATCTGCTTTCTTCTCCCCTGTCCCCATGGTTTCCTTATGGCTAGTATAGTGCCAAACACTTAATTATATTTTTGCTAAATAATGAATGGAATGATGATTAGTGACTCTAAGAAAGTGTGTTTCTCATGGCACTCTTTTTTATAGTCTTCCTCAAGCTCCATTTTCAATTTCATCCTTTCTGTATTGTGTCTTCCATCCAACTCTCATTCTTTTAAAGAATATTTGTTGAATATTCCTCTTAAAACCCAAGTTTTTACTGTGTGCCCAGTGTTGAGGTAGATGTTAAAAGTTTGATGCTTGATGTACCCATGAGGTCATAATCCAAGCTAAGAGGGGCCAGTGTCTGCTGGGTCTGGTGAGCAGCCATATGTAGAAGTGAGTTTTCCTTTCCCCAGTACAGTGATGCCTGCTTCACACGGTGTCCTACAGGAAGAAGGTAGCAGGCATATATGGAGTCTACCTTCCTGCCCCATAACCGGTGAGTGCCAGAACAGAAATGTAAGTAAAGATCTATGGCATTTAAAAGCAAAACTTTTATTTATTTATTTTTGACTTTATCCATTTTTGATACTGACCTATCTTAATTTTAAAAATAGATGATTTTACTCTTTATCCTAACTACAGTAGTGCTTATAAAATTCCTCACCCACAAATCAAAGGCACAAAATAGTTACTGCATAATTGCAAGTGGTAGAGTGGTCATAGTATGTAAAAATAGCCATAAAAACCCTAAGCTTTATTGAAAGCATCGTGTTTCAGCTACAAACTTGAGACAAATTTTGCACTCCTTTTTAAAAACCAAGCTTTTGCTATCCATGGAGTGAAACCGGCATCTTGACCTCAGACAGAATCCACTGACTCTTGACCTGTTGCTAGCATACTTAGTTGACCAGAGGTACAGTGTGCACATTTTCAAGATATGTAGGACGAATATAAAAATCGTTCTGCTCCCAGCACTGACTATAGTAAGAGGGGTCAGGTACAACATATGACTGCACTCAGCATAGTTTTTTTGTTTCTTTCTCCTACTGTGATCACCTCACTTTGTCTGTTAGTAATCTCATCCTTATGCATCATTATACATGTTGCAAATAAATAATAAAGCTAAGTCTGTTTAATAATTGTTTTCTGAGTAAGACTCTTAATGAGGACTTTAAGATAATATTGGTGGGCTGAGGCCAGGACCTCTGTGATGGATGGTCTGGGCTTCAGAGGCCTTAGCATGCAGGTTGGAGATATGTTCCAAGGTGTAACTTTTCCAGGTAATCGAAATGCCACTGTGCTTTCATGATCATCTACACACAGCAACATATTTGTACTCTTTTTAAAGATTTTTTTATCATTGTTTTATTTAAACTCATACCCAGATGGAGTTATTCCAAGTTTTTCAGTGCGTGATCTTAACCCAGGATTTTAATGACACATTGATGTCCCAAGAGGATTAAATGGAGTATAGCAGGGGATAGAGAGGTCAGGAGAAGGAGCTGGAGGATCAGGCATAGCTGACCACACAGATCATCCTCTGCAGTCCTCAGGTTCAGGGGCTTCGGCTATATCTGCTAGGTGAAGGGGGCCAGGAAGTATTCCAACCAGATGACTGTCCTAATAATACTGGCATGCCAGGAGCTAATTTTGTAGACAATGAATCCTCAAGGAAGGACAGTGGAAATAGACATGATATATTCCAGGAATAACTAGGAAATGGAACAGATAGAACCAGTTTTAGAGTGAAGCAGGGGTAGTGTCTATGTTTTGATGGGCCAGGAGAGCTATTATACTAAAAATATAATCAACAATGAAAATATCATTGTTGAGCACCTACTATCTGTTTGCTATAAGACTGAACACTTGGCATGAATGCTTAATAATCAAGCTTCACAGCAGCCCTTTAAATTTGGTACAGTGTCTCTGTTTTACAGGTAATAATACTGAAGCTCAGAGTGGTCACAAAGCCCATGACCACATAACTGGATTGGAGCACAGCTGGGCACCTACGTACAAAAAGAAAAATGAGACATAATTGCGGATTTCACTGACACTTAAGGAATCTTCCTGTGGATGACCAGTACCTAAGAGTACACAAAGCATTTTTACATATGTTATTATCACTCCAGCTATCTCATAACACTGTAGGGTAGGTAGAGATATCATTAGCTTATAAATGATGAAACTGACACCTTCAGACACTAGGTAACAAATTTGGATCAAACAGTAAATCTCAGTACTATAAAAAATGTTGCAATTTCTCCTCTACAAGGGCCACTGGTGAACCTCTACCACTGCTCACACTGTTGTGTGCTCTACAGAGGGAAACAGAATGGAGTAGATAAAGTTTTGATTCTGGAATCAGACTGCCTCGGTTGGCATTCCATTTCTGCTATAAGACATTGGATAAATTACTTAATCTCTCTAATCTGTTTTCTTATGCAAGAAATGGGAGTAATAATTGCATCTTTTGCTATTTTTATGGTGCTGCAGTCATAATTTTTAAAAGAAAATTTATGCAAAGTGCCTGGCACCTAGTAAAATTCAGTAAATGCTAGTAGTAATAGCTGTAGTTCAAAGAAATGGCATGCAATTAGCTGTAGGAATACTAAAATATATAAAATCAGATTTTGAGATGAATCATTTCTGAAGGCAGAAGACGAGTCAAAATGTAGGTAGGGAGTTAGTTTGATCCTGGAGATTATTTTCACTTAAAATAATAGTAAAGTTTATATAGGAAAATTAAGTTATTGGAAATGTACTTGAAAGAAGGCAAGTAGGCAGCCTAAGGTAATAGTCTTGGTGAAAATTAACATCATCCTGAACAAGAACGGAAGTTGAGGGAATGGGAAGGAGGAGATAGGTAGGAAGGAGAGGTGCGGAACATTTTAGGGGCACTCTTCCCAGCATGTACAATATTTTGGTTGCTTTTTTAATATCACTGGGTGAGTAGATAAGAAGTGTAAACTCATTTTCCAACTGGGCTAAGCCAAAAATCGAATGCAGATGGTTTGTTATACTATAAAGACATGCATTGCAGAATCAGGTACAATTTGAAAGTTACATGTTCTGATTACCTACATTTCATTATTGTTTTTTGGCATAAGATAGCTGGAGTGTATGGATTCACTTACATAAATTTGCTGTTCTGGCTGCATTCTGAGAGGTGTTTATTTACCTGCTCATGTGCTTATTTATATTTGAGTTCTTAGCTTGATGCATTATATCTAGGCTTTTCTCTTCTTCTCATAATGCAGAAATAATATGAGATACAAAAATTTCAATCTCAGTTGACTTTTCCATGATTGTCTTTCTGGTAGGCTGAATTAACTTCAAATAAAGTGATTGCCTTAAAATTATTGCCAGTAGTGCTTCAGTTTCTTGTGTCCTAGTTTTAACGGAAGTGAGTCTTCATTCTATAACAATAGCTTTAAAATGTCTGTGATCTGAAACTAGCAAAAGTTCTTGAGACTGTGCTCTACCTTAGAGAAGGAAGAGGGAAATTTGGGTTGCTTCGTCTTGCCTGATGTTCCTGGATGCCCTGCAGCAGTACTGTAGTTTTCAGGTGTTTATCCAGATTACAGCAAATGCTGGCTTGGGTGATCTGGTAGGTATTTCTGATGCATTCCAGAAAACTCTCAGAGGTTGAAATGCGCTCAGATCCAAGGTGCACAAGGGCAATGACTTAAGCAGTGATAACTGAGATTTTACCGAATATGTTTACACGGCATTTGTTCAGATGAGTTCAGTTGGTTGGCATCCTCATGTGTGTTTGGCAGTCAAAGTCTTTTATGTGCTTCTGCTTGCGAATGTAGCCTGATTGACCAGACAAGAATAAAGTACAGTTCTCATTGTTGTGCCTTATGTTTGTAAGTTTCTAAATTTACTAAGTATAAGGCAGTAAATAATAACCTTACTGTGAGCAAGTATTATAGGGCTCAGTACTCAATCATGACCTCACCCAGTGATTACTCCCATAAAATCACAGCCCTCTGGATCTTGTTGGACATTCAAAATGTCCTAAAAGTGCTAGAAACAGGCAAGTCTCTTTTTAAGACTACTATCTCATGTGCCTGTAATTTACCTGAATGAATCTTTTAGGTGAGCTGTTGATGTCTTATTAACCAGGTTTTTTCCTCCCAAAGAAATTCATAGTCAACTGCTGGGTAACCTGCCTGTGTGCAATTTATGGGTCTGCCAGCCATAAAAACATTAATGCATAATACATGAACAAAACATACACTCTTTTGGCAAAACATGGAAAAAGTAAAAAAGAAAGGAATTTCGTCTTTGCTTTCCACAGGGAAAAAGCATGAATCTTGCTTTTTTACGTTTGCTGCCTTTATGCCTTTAAATATATGAGATGACTATTAATGCCCGTATTCACAGCAGGAGTGGAGGGGAAATGGCAGTAAATTGGAAAGCACATTTACATTATAACAAGGCCCATGGAAGCACTGTAATTCACACAGTTATTTCAACAGAGGTTTGGACTCCCTCCAATTTAATTTTCTGAAGTTAGACTGCAGCTGGGTCATTCCTGGTCTAATCTGGGAAATGTATCTCTTAAGGCTGTGGATCAGCATGCCAGTGTCCCAGCTGTCACCAAGGGGCATCATTTACAGCCACTGGGGTCCGAGGCCAAAGCATCAGAATCACTTTATGTGGACACAGCAACCTAGCTGGCTGCATATATTCTGTTACAAAGAGCAATAATCAATACTTTGTGTTTAATGATGCAGAGGTAAAATTAGTATAGATTTTATGTCTTCTACCTTTCCAAATTATGCAAACATTAGTAACCCCTTTTTTAGGGCCCTTCTTACACTTCCTTTAAAAGTAAGTATGGGAGGAATTATGAGAAAACCTTGTGATATTTAACTGAACGATTGAATAGTCAAAAGGATTAGAGGTAATTTGGGTTTTTAACTTTTGTTAAGTAGTTACTTTTGGGTTAGTATGGAATTATTCCCAACACACACGCAGACTGATTTATGTGAATGTCGCAGGTTTTGTCACCCACAGCTATACAATGAAATAAATGGCAAAATGTGTACACATTTTGAGATCCCTTAAATGCTCTGCAATATTGCTGGGAATAAAATAGCTAAGTGTAAGTCGGAAAAGTTAAGAGGTTACATTTAGACATAAGTGCACTTTAGAGAAAAAGCAATTTTGAGAAGATTTCTGATTTTAGACCTGTCTGCAGAACATACTCGGTTTATTTAGATGGCAGAAATGGTCGGGAAAGAAAAACAAATAAGAGTGATGTTTTATTATCGGGCAGGTCAAGGGCTTGACTGTGAAGCCACAGAGATGAGAGTGCCTAACCTCCTCACTGTATTCCACTGTTTCTGACGGGAGAAAAACCTGTAGGATTAAGATGGGAGGCAATCTCACAAAAAAGCAGACTCCCATGTCTATCATAATAGTTCTTGCCCAGGTTAGTTTAGAATAGCCCTTATGACACTAGAAAGCACAGGAAGCATCATATGCCACTGACAGCACAGATT